AGTTATTTCCAGCCCCCGTTTTTAGGGTCCAGGCATTTTTTAAATGTCTACTTTACATCAAGAGTGTAAATGCCTATCTAAGTAATATGTGGTTTATTATCTAGTTCCTGCCCAAATTCTATCCATTTGTACTTCTTAGACTTAAAAAAATTGTAGTTAGACTATTTCTATGAAAATATGTTACCAACAATGTAAAATTTGTTGAATAATTCTTTTTCTTTCAACCTTTTGTTGATATGTAAGTTTTTTCTTCCTGTTAAGGTTTGAACACTGTCCATACACACTCATGTGTTTAACCCCTTTGTCCCCAGTTGCTGGTGTAGAGTTGGGAGATTGTGGAGCCTTTAGGAGATGAGGACAAGCGGGAAGAAGCGGATTGCTGGGAGGCTGACCTTGGGAGTGTTAGTCCTACCTGGTTCTAACCTACTTTCTCTGTGCTTCCCAAGTGCCTCAGAGATAGATGTGAGCAAACAGCTCCAAGTTCCTGCCATGCACAGATTCAATCTCAGACATTAAGTCTTCACTGCCACAATAGATTGTATTCCCTGAACCATGACCCAAATAAATATCATTGTGTTGTTGTCAGAAAAAAACAAACAAACAAATGGTTTGATACATTTTTTCTCAAATTCTGGACACAGGGTTTACAAAACTCTATGCCGGGGCATGCAATGTGAGGAAGGGTCTGTTGGAATGAGTCTTTCTGGGCAGGCTGGACATAGTTCTCTTGTAGGAGCCATTGACTTTATAGTGCAACCCTCAAATTTCTTGGGTAAAGTAAAGTATCAGCTCCCACAAGGGGTACTGAGTGTCAACAAACATTGCTCATGTTATATTTTCCTGTCGGAAACAAGGATGCAGCAATAGATGCTAACTGCTTTTGCCTTCCAACTGTGAAGATGCTGTTCATTCCTCTTTCAAATGATCCTGCTTGGTTAAGCCTTATGAGAAAGATAAATGTTTTATCCACTTAAATACCAAAAACAGGATAGTCTGAGCATTATTAAATTTGGGCGCTGAAAACGAGGCTGAAAGAGGCTTGAATAGAGACTAATAATGAACTCTTATAAGTCGACAATAAAAAAGGCAAATATCCAAATTTTAAAAAATTGGAAAAAGGATCTGAACCAGACATTTCTTCAAAGAAGACATACAATTTGCCAATAAGCACATGGAAGATGCTCAACATTATTAATCATCACAAAAATGCAAATCAAAGCTATGAGCTGTTACTTCACACCTGCTAGGATGGTTATAAGGAAAAACGAAAACAAAAAAACAAAAACCAGGCAGTAACACATGTTGGAGAATGACTTGATCAATTGGAGGTGCCTCCACCCCACTGCTGAGGGAAAGGTAAAACTTTATACCATTTTTGGGTCCTTAAGACCATACGACTTGGTAATTACACTCCTGGGCATGTGCTCAAGCAAAATGCTCAGAAAAGAGCTTGTACATGAATGTTTATAGTAACTTTATTCATAATAGCCAAAACATGACAATGATGCAAATGTACAGAAAGTAATGAATGAATAAGTCACAAACAGGACACTATTTGGCAATAAAAAAATGAAATATGGACACTTACAACCACATGGGTGGACTAGATAATATTATTCAAAGTGAAAGAAACTGGTTATCGGAGATCACATATAATATTTTACATGTGCAAAATGCCCCAAAT